GAAATAATATAGGGGCCTTATAATTAGAATTGCATAGGGGTTTGTGATATATTAGATTAAAATTACAAAAAGGAACCCCCAAAACCACATTCCAATTATTAAGGCCCGTACATTACACTCTACTTGTCCAGTATCCTGGGGAATTGAAGGCCAACCTTTGCAGGGGATTCTAGTAGCCCCGGGAAGGTGTTAAAGGCTACCTGCTCCACCCTAAACCCTAAAGCCCTAAACCCTTGCACCCTAAACCCTAAACCCCTAAACCCTGTACCACTGGGCTAGACTTGTAACAAGGAGCGATCCTGACATCTTTGAGGCGTCCTTGGTGATCCTGAAGTTTAGATCCCTAACTGGCAGCCCCACCAGGTTAGGGGTGTAAGGGTTAGGGGCTTCGGGCTTAGGGGCTTAGAGGTTTAGGGTTTACGTGTTTAGGGTTGCCTTTTCTGCCGAATGCCCTAAGCTAGACCATTGATTGCTATCCCCAAGCCGTAGAGCCTAGCCTAGACCCGAGGCCCCTAAACCTAAATAAACCCCTCCCTTTGTAATCATAACCCTGAACCCTAAACCCTAAACCCTAAACCCTAAACCCAAAACCCTAAACCCTAAACATAACACTACTCTAAACTCCAAACCCTGAACCGTCTTGTTGAACCCAGACTCGGCCAATCAGCTAAACCCTAGACTTTAAACTCTAAACCCGAAACTCTAAACCCTAAACTCTAAACTCTAAACCCGAAACTCTAAACCCTAAACTCTAAACCCTAAAATCATACTATTAAGGCACCTATAGTTTAAGGGGTATGGGGTTCTCTCTGGCAGGTACCTTTGGGTTCCATCCTTGGGAATCTCCTTTTCATGTACTTTCAGGTTCAGGGGTTTAGGGTTTAGGGTTTAGGTTTAAGGTCGAAGGTTCTATCTGTGAGATTTGCTTTTCATGTGCTGTGCTTGGTTTTTAAAGTTTAGAGTTTAGGTTTGAGAAGGCCTTACAATGGCAAGCTCATGATGGCACATAGGGGGGTTTCCGAAAATAGGGGACCCTAATATAGTACCCTAAATCGTAGGATCCTTATTATAAGGACCCCAAAATAAGGTACCCCTAATTTTCGGAAAGTCCCATATGAAAGCCTTGTCGTGGAGGCGCCGCTGTCCATAGATTCATCCTTAGGAGGTGCCGGGTTTAGGGTTTAGGTGTTTAGGGGTTTAGGGTTTAGGGGTTTAGAAGTTTAGGGTTTAGGGGTTTGGGGTTTAAGGCTTAAGGGTTAAGGGTTCAGGGTTTAGGGGTTAGGGTTCACGGGTTTAGGGTTAAGGTTTAAGGATTCAGGGTTTAGGTTTCAAGGGTTTAGGGTTTAGGGTTTAGGAGTTTAGGCATTTAGGGTTTAGGGTTTAGGCTTAGTCAAAGGAGTGAAGTTCGCGAAGTTGTCCAGGGTTCTGCATCCCATCACTGCGGGCTTGTTGGTTGCCGCTACGCAGCCAATAGTCCGTTTAAGTAGCACCATTCGAAAGTAAGTTACACTGAGTCCTTCCACATTAGCTAATGGGTAGCAGCCTACTGGTCCGCACATAGCACTGAAACTCAAACCCTCAACCCCTAAACCCTGAACTCTTTACCAGAAGATCCTGGGAAGTCTTTTCCGAAATATCCGAAGCCCCAAGACCCTCACCACCCGGGGGCCCGGAACTTCTGGAGGCGCAAGAGTTTCAAGGTTTGCATCTTAGGGTTTAGGGTTTCAGGAGCTGAGCTTCTAATGTAGGGGCCTTCATTCATAAGTAGAATGGGGTCTTGGGGGTTCCTCACTATAGTATAACACAGCCCCAAACCCTCTTCTAATTATGAAGGCCTCCAAAATTGCCCGCAGAAGGCCCAATGCGGAGTATAATAGGAGTTTTAGGGTTAAGGGTTTAGGGTTTAGGGTTTAAAAGGCATAGGATTTAGGCTTTAGGGTTTAGGGTTTAGGGTACAGATGTTTAGGGACCCGAGAGTTTTTTGGAGTTTAGGGTTTAAGGAGTGGGGTTGGAGCCAGAAAGCTCTCATAGTAACACAAGGCCCGAAAACCAAACCCTGAAACTCAAAGTCATCCTTGACCCGTGATAGGGATTATAAGAATGTTACGGGCTTTGAAGGCAAGGGGGTTCATGTATCATCAGGGTCTACATGAGAAGTTCTCTTCATCAAGGTCACCTTTTCCAGCCAAACCCATTCGAACCTTCCGAACCGGTAATGTAGGGGCCTACATAATTTCTTATAGTATTGTTTTTTTTGGGGGGTTCCTTATTGTAATTCTAGCACAACGGGCCCCAAAACCCTATTCGAATTATTAAGGTCCTTGCATTATACCCTTATAATAACCCTTAGAGTAGCCCTTTAAAGAAACCCCATTCAAACCCTAAACCCTAAACCCCTCTTAAGCCCCCTTCTTTGTAACTTTCGGGTCCCGAGCCGTAGAGATGGACACAGCCTGGCACGGCGAGTCTCTGATTAGGATACTTAAAGGATCATGGGACTTAGTATGTCGGGTTTAGGGTTTGGGGTTTATATTTTTAGTGTATAACTAAGGTAACTATACCGGCTTCCTTCTGAGGGCTTCGTTGAAAGGTGTCTAGAATTTGCCTACAGTCTCCATTGTAGTTCCTTTTTGGGGGGTTTAGGGTTTAGGGTGACTAGGGTTTTAGGGTTTATGGTGTTAGGGTTACTTAAAGGGTCATGGGACTTAGTAAGTAGGGTTATAACAAAGGTAGCTATACTTATAACCGGACTTATAACCTTACTTACCAAGTCCCATGATCCTCCAAGTGAGGTCCATTCCTTGTCGGGCTTCTTCTTCCTAAACCCTACCACGCACCTCTCCCACAAAACACGTTTAACAACTCCAATGAAATCCTTAGCTGCACAACCCCACGGAAAATAAGCCTCAGGGACCAGCGAGAACTGAGAACTGCTGCGGCAAACCCTGAACCCTCAACCCTGGACGCGCCTTATTAAAAGCTCAGCTTGGACTAAAACTTAAACCCTAAGTTTAGGCTCTGGACCCACATTCCTCGACCCTACAGGTGCAGAAGTCCCTAAACCCTAAACCCTAAACCCTACACCCTAAACCCTAAACCCTAAACCCTAAACGTCTAAGTCCATGACTTACAGGTAACCGAACTAGCCCATGTCATCTCATGCCTCGGCCAATTCATCTGCCGGCTGCTACGGATTCCGTGGTACTGTAGGAGCCGGAAGTTTAGGGTTTAAGGTTTAGGGTTTCGGGTTTAGGAAAAAATAGAATAGGGTTTTGGGGTTTCGAGGTATACTATACTTTAAATATAATAAGGAACCCAAAAACTGGTATTGGTACTTATTTAGGCCCCTAGATTAAGGGGGGTAGGGTAGGGTAGGGTAGGATAAGTATGGCAGGGTAGAGTAGGGTAGGGTAGGGGTACTATTAAGGGCGAATATGTCTATATTATGATTATTATTGAACTGCTACTGACTTGGGGCAGTATCCAAACTAAACCCTAAACCCTGAACCCCGAAAGCCCAAAACTCCCAACAGTCCAACCCTAAACCCTAAACCCCTAAATCCATAAACCTTAACAAGGACAGGTCGCCCTTAACTTCCTGAGCCATCGCAGCTCGGCCAGATTTAACAATGCCGGCAAGGCCCTCGTGCCCATTTGCACAGAAATGGCCTTGGACTTCTGGGATTCAACAGAAGCTTCATCCAGTTGGACAAGAAGACTGACAAGTTACTAATATCATTTCATACTATTTCTGGGGCTGCTTATCAGATTTGGGCAACTACAACATGCACCAAAGCCCAAGTTCGAATTGTGTTAGGGACCCTATAATGTGTCTACTTTGTGACTTCACCCTTTTTCAGCACAAACCCTCCTAAAGCAAGAGCACGAGTAAGAGCAGTCACAAGGGACGCAGCAGGAGCAAGAGCAGGAGTAAGCGCCAGAGCAGGAGATCACACAAGTCGTAGAGATTTCACACCCCTTCCGAATGATCAACACGCTTTCGCGAGCTTTTATCAGGGAGGGAAGCCCCTTGGCAATATTGCGTATTCAGAACGCTACAGTTCTCAGTTTGAGAACACGAAAAGTTCATGGCTGAGGATTGGATTCTTGCAGCCGCGGTGCGGAAGCTGGGCAGCCTGAGGGACAGGGGTCAGGGATGCTGGGTTTAGGGTTTTTGTTGCCTCCTGCATTCTTGAACAAGTCGCTGGGCAGGGCTTGTCTCTGGGGTTCCGGGAGGTGACTCCTGAACCACAGGCTCAGGGGTTTAGGGTTTCGGCGCGCACTTTCGGACCTGCTTAGTATGTTGGAGACGAAATCAACGTTGGAATCTGGCCTTTTGCGTATTTAGGGCTTTAACCGTTATGGAGTACCCTCTCACACTCGACCTCCCCGTCAGACGAGGCTCATGGTATGCAGTTGGAACCATTAGGTCGCAGTCCCAGCACCCCAATGCGACATAATCTAACAAGCATTACACACCTAGCAAACATCCTATGGTCGCACTTCGACCACGCTGGGTCACATCGCGACACTCCGCGGCCACCAGCTCGCGGCACGGTCAGGGGAAAGGACAGCTATTTTCATGCCCAGACACCGCGCAGAGCGCAAAGAGGTATCGAAAGCACTGCTTCAGGCTTTCAGCGGCAGATTGCTGCGCACTGCAAACACCAGCTTCCTTGTACCGCGAAGTCAGGTTCTCGAGCGTCAAGCTTGTTCGTTTGCCCATAAACTAGGACGATTACTGTGGTTGTTAAACTACCTTCTCCGTGCAAACATCCCCTTCTCGCCGCGCATTCTGACTTCCGGATACGGTGGTGCTGCTGTGCTCACACCAAAGTGCCAACATGGAATTTAAAACCTGCACCGTAGCACTGGAGGGCCCAACATGCTTCCTCCAGACTACAGGCATTTACAAGGCCAAACGAACACGTGTCGTGCTTGACACAGACGACTTGGGTTGAAGTGTAATTAGGGGCCTTAATAATTAGAATAATGAGTAAACCCAAGGAGTAATCTTTGTAATTATTTAGGCTTGTATATTAAGCTTGACCTCTACGCTTCCCTAGTCAATATCAGGGGCCTGTTTCGGGTCTAAGGTCGGGGATGGTGAGTATCCACGGCCGACTATGCCCCAAATATTCCCAAACCCTATTGAAGTTATGTGGGGGTTTCCGCAAATAGGGGACCCTAATCTAGTAACCCAAATAGTAGGATCCCTATTATAAGGGCCCCAATATTAAGGTACCCCTTATTCTCGGAAACCCCCATATTAAGGCCCACATGGTAACGGCCTTGCTTCGCAAGGCATCCAAAGCTCAAAGACCTGCTGACTTAGCAGGGTAGCTTGCAAACCACACTCTGCAGGAACCACGCACCTCGGGTTTAGGGGCAGGTATGGATATGGGTGGTTCTCTAAACTCAAGTCCCTTGTTTAGATCACCAAAATAGTACGGCACCCTTATAAAGAGGACCCTAAGCGACCCTAATTTAGTGTCCAATCCACACAGCGGTGGTGACCGCATGGCCGGCGATGTAACCCCTCTTCGAGGACCCACACCATGGCAGCCAAGGACAGTCTCAGCTGCCCTCATTCATTTAGTGAGCTACCCACATGCCTTTCTAGTGCAGGCATGGTTTTAGAGCAGGGACTGGAAAGTCATGTAGACCCCTCGTGAGCAAACTCCCCCCCCCACCCCTTTAGTGACAGGCCCAGATATTAGGATGCTTTTCCGGAATGTACTGTAGAGGCCTTAATAAATAGACTCGGGTATTGGGGCATATTCTACTATAAGCCAGATAAGGAACTCCCACACTAGTATTGGGAACCGTTGAGGCCCCTATCTTAATCCTTAACATGGGTGAGGAGTTTACACATCAGAGGTCTACACTAGTTCGCAGCACATTGAATTTGTCCAGTCTTTCCGTCCATCTCCCAAATCATTCCGGCGTCGGCTAATTTTTGCGAAGTCTTCCCTCGTTGGAAAGTACTTAATTAGGAGCCTTATAAGAATTAGAAAAGTGTTTGGGTGTAGGTTGGTATAATCATGCATGCAGGGGTTATGCAGGAATTTCTTGACGACGTATTCCGACCCTAGATTTACCCCTCTCTGGAGAGTAGGAGAGGGAAAGCAACCGGACGATGGAAAAAAAACGGCGTTGTCGACCATCCGGCGAGCATCGCAAAGTCGGAGGACCGTTTGCTTTAGGTCTCCGGTGCGGAATGGAGGATAAGGCCATATAAGGCCGGTGGTGCCCATATTTTGAGCAACTCCCACTGGCCTCATTGTCACGTGAACCACTCGAAAGCCGATTTACATCAGCATCTGCGCCAGAGCCAACTCATCCTGGGTACCGGCGCATCGGCCGATCCGCCGCGGAAAAGTCGGACCTTATTCTCCAAGTCTCTGGAGGATGCGGACACGGCCTTCAAAAAGCCCTTCATGCGGACGTTGTGATGGTCATGCAGAAGTCGATTTGGCGGGCGATTGGGGTCTGCGTCATCTGGCCATGACCGTGAGAAGAAGGAGTGGCGTGAATCCGTCCCAGCGTCTCCGTCGTCGCAGTCCACCATTTCCTCGAGCATCGGTGGCATGCAAGTGCTTGAGCGAGAATCCAAAGGCGACTGCTTACCTTCCGTGGGGATGAGGTCTGCCTCTGGATTGCAAGGCTCTTCGTCCAAAGCATGCTCCTCGGGCTGGACGGCCAAAACGCTGTGAAGTATTTCCATGCCAAGGCTCTCGGGCTTGCAAGGCTCCGGCAGCTTTGCAAGGGCCTCAAAAACCGGAAAGGCTCCGGCCATGGTGGAAAATCGAGGGTTCCAGGACCTTCGACACCTCTGAGCCAAAGGCTGACAACGCGAAAAAAGCCCCCACGAAACTCGGTACACTCGAACCGGAGAGCTCTCTTCGCAAAGCTTACAGACTTCCAACAGAGAGCTTCTCGTGCTTGCATATCGATCATCTTGTCCACGTGCACAGTGAACTCGAAATCCGCAATGCCTCACTCTTAAAGGCCCTTACACTCCCCCAAAGACTCGAGTTCCTGCGAGACCCATGCCTGTAGAGAAATCTCAAGCCGAGCAAAGCGGAGTCTTTTTGGGATGTCAATATAGGGTTTAGGGTTTAGGGGTTTAGGGTTTAGGGCAGAGGCTCTTGCAGGCCGGATGCAAAAAGGGTTTAGGGGTTATACTACATATGTACCTATGTAAATACACGCGGGGAACCCTAAACCCCTAAACCCCCACACCCAAACCAAACGACAGGATAAGACCCTGTGCCAAATGCACCTCCTGGTCCGCAGCTCGTAGCATCTGCTGTATAAACCTCAGTGCGACCGTCCGAAAAGGTTCTAGTTTGGTATATGAGAGATATACATATCATGTGTACATATATATATATACATATGTATATATATATATATATACGTATAGACATACACACACATACTCTTTGTTGTATGGGGAGCTTTCCTTTAGAATAGAACATGGAGCGGCGCCTGGCATTTATGGCCCAACTTCCACCATTAGGTACAACAAGGGGTGTGCAGCATCGAAGCAAAGAATATATGGACAACAGATCACTCAAAAGATATATATATATATGTATATAAATATAAATATACATATATATATATATATCCAGCATTACCAGATTTCGGCAGCTGTCAAGCCTTTCCAGGCAGATCATGGAAGCGGCGCTTCAGGCTTCATTGACACACTGTACATGGACTCAGAGTCCAAGGTTTAGGAATGCTCAATATAAGGGCCTTAAGAAGGTTCATTATACTGTAATCATAATAAGGAACCACCAAAATAGTATTGGTAATTATTAAGGCCCCTATATTAGGTTCTCGGTGTTGTGCTTTTACCCGACGACATCGCGTGGTTTCGACTTCAGTTTACCTGCTCGTTCTTGCATGCCCATGTGCAAGAAGCCTAATGTCCTCTTTTGGGGGGTTCCTTATTATAGTTGTTATAATATAAAATAAACCGAAACACCTTTAAAACTACGGTTGATGATATAAATCCTGCATTACCCATAGTAAGGAATATACCAAATTCCCATCGATTAAGGAATATAGTTCCCCATAGAATAAGGAATATACCATAATTCCCATCGTTTAGGGTCCCTTCGAGGAAATGCAGGATTCATGTCATCAACAGTA